CAGAAATCTCAATGAAAATCTCATCACAAATTAGTGATTGTTTTAATCAGTGTGATATTTTAAAATCGTCTTATTTATAATATAATAATATATAGCAATATATTTTTTTGAAAGAGTGTTTGAAAATTTTCTTTATTTTTAATTTATTATTATTGTAATTAGTATAATAATAATTATAATATTATTAAAAAATATTAAATAATAATAATTATTATTATTAATTTATTTTTGTATTTATTTTTAATTATTTATTACATATTAAGAATAAAAAAGTGTTCTATATAATTCGGAATTTAAATACTATTATATTGAATATTATATTTTTATTCTAGATATGTATTGTGTATACAAATATTTCCTTCAAAAATTCAAATTAAATAGAAGAAACTGTAAAAACTGTAAATATAATATATGTATCACTACTACTGATTTTTAAATGAAAGTTTACTGTCATGATCAGAAAAGCAAAATATGACTATTTTTATTAAAATGTAATAGTCATTTTTGATAAAATTTTGTATTTCTATTTTAATTAGTGACATTTTCATTGATTCAGTTTCAAGAGAATAATTTATTTAAGGTATAGGTAAGAATAAGATATTTAAGAAAGATAGATATTTAAAAGACAGATATTCTCTCTCTCTCTCTCTCTCAATTTTATATCTAATTTAATAGGTCAGAGACAGCTATCAATCTATTCGTTAGAATAAAATGTCGATTTTTCTTAGAACTTCAATAATTATTTCGTATGTTTAATTAGACCATCAAAATTATTTCTTAATATTATTATACGATCGTTATATTTCTAAATAACAGTTACTAAATATTCTTCGGGATTCAGTATCGTTCAATCTTGCTTCTCTGCTATTAGAGAAGCTATATCTACACACACACACACTACAGTGTATTATTCCTCTGGTGCTGGTGTAATTTCAATCTACAGTGAACAGATTTCTCGTGTTCCTTAAATGTGCCATGCATCAGGAATGAGTGCATCAGCCTACTTTATATCCTGCTTTAAAATGCCCGGGGAAACAATTTACGCAACGCAAGTCCCTTCCTCCGTTAAGTCACGCGACATTTTTGCCATATCATGCGAGGAATATTCCATTGTTGCATAATTCTGTCGCATTTGACAATGATGATAAAACCTCTGCGAGATCGGTCACGAAGGCAGAATAAACACGTGCGTTTTATTTCCCTCGAACAATTTTGCACGTGAAGTGTTATTTTTCCAGCTAGCAAACTTTGACTTCTCGTCTCCGCGAATTGACAGATGCCACGTGTTTATCATGCGACCCCGGTCCGTTGTGTACATTCCCTGTTGTATGTATAAGCGCGGTTGCTGGTAAACTTTCTCAGAAATACACCCAGGAAACACATCCCCTTATACTACACGCGGGAGAACCAACATCGATAAGAGAAACGGACTAAATTAAATGTAAACTGTCGGTCGTGCAGATTTATAAGATTAAGGGGATGCTGTCGTAGTTCTGTTTTACCGACTTTAAGTTAGGTTAGGTTCACTTTTTATTGAATATACAGATTGAAAAATTGTCTACAATGAAAGTACTGATAATAATGAATGGAAAGCGCTGTCCGGCAACTAATTTTTGCTGTTTTATGCCTCGACATCGATTCTGCACGCAAATATACATATATAATTCAAGTACGAATCTTTTGATATGAGCTTTTAATCTCATTTTTATTATTTTTGTATTATTTTTTCATATCATTTTTATTGGGAGCGCCATATTTTGTGCACAAATAAACTGCAGAACTTTTGTATTAAATAAATATTGTTATGAGCTGATGCAACAGGTCGATAAAAAACTGTAATTTTTAAACTTTTATTGTTTTTTATACGAAATCACAGCACTCCCTGTTCATTATTATCAGTATTTTAATTGTGAAGGAATTTTCAATTTGTATAGCCAATAAAAAGAAAAGCCCTTGAACTCAAAGTCGGTAAAACAGATGTGGTTAGCATTCCCTTAAAAGAGAGTCTCGTGCCCTGATATCAACAAAAAAGATGCCGCACGTGCGGGGATGGAGAAACGTTTTATATATATGAACGAAAACTGTGTGGATATGATGCATTCTTTCTTTAAAAATATATCGCGGTAAAGAGGCCTCTTCGGTGAGCGTTGCTGTTTAAAAATATTTTCCAACGTTGCTCCTTTGTAGCAACGTAACTTGTAACGTTACCTTGCAAAAAGCTTGATGACGCGCGCTTTTCCAACAACAAAAAGTGACACTTGCAGTGTATCGGTTGCGGGAACGTATACGTAGATAGAAAAATAGGATAATTTTAATCTTTGTAAAATAGTAGGTAAACATTTTACACAACCGCGCGCTTTAATTATAATAATCCGAGTACTTTCCGTAAACAGCATTATAATGTAAATAAAATTGCATTAAATTTTTAAAATATGTATTTTTTACGATAGAAAATTGATAACTTAATGTTCTTTACCTGACGTCAATAGGCAATCTTTCTAACCTTTTTGTCAATATATTTCGGAGAAAATGTTATTTCCGAGATCCTTCAATTTTATAGATGTGTATTTGATAGATTCTTTTATCGAGAAATAGTATATCGCAAACTTTGATGCTTGATCAATAGTTTTCGAGATATCGATGTTTCAAAATTTTATATTAAAAATATAATTAAGATTTCAAAATTTTTGATAAGAGATCATTTTCATAAAAATTTTTATCAAATTTTTAATAAAACAAATCTAATTTAATTTTATCAGAAATTAATTTCGGTTGGATTACAACTTTTTCAGGATAGGAGTGTAAGAAAAGAGATTCCGGTTCTTTCATTTTTTATAATACACACATAACACTAAATTATTCCAAATATATTTTTCTTAGAAAATGTATATAGTACACTAATTGTTGTGGCAAAAGTATTCCTATTATTACGACTTTTAAAAATTTATATTTCGAACATTATAAATAAAGCATATTCTTTTTCCGATTAAAAATCCTATGAAAATAACCTATCAAACCTATCGAAAAATCCCAGAAATAACATTTTGTCCTATACAATTTTTCACTTTTTCATCTATGTTTTAGTAACTCAGGTATCGATTGCGCGTTTTTGACACATTGCACTATGACATTTTTTAAATATCAGTTGTTGTGCATTGAACATTCATTTATATATTTTAGGTTTCCGAATACAAAAATTAATTTATTTATTCTTGGTATTTTGTTTCGGACGAAGAAAAGTTCCGACACACTTTAATTCTTTAGTGCCTGGCGTGCCATATTTAACACATTCGCTTTAGATTATTCTTAAATCTATAATTAAAATTTTTTTTATCGTGCCCGTTCAATTAATCAATCCCAAATAAGTTATAAATATTAAAAATCCCGCTCTGTGCCGTTCGAAATCGCCAGAAATCCAATATGGCCGCAGCATTTCTAAATCCGAAATCTGAGTCTCGGCCTTAAAGGGTTACAGTTGCTTTGGGTATTCGGATATCCATTTTATTGACAGAGAAGTTGCTTACTATTATTGATTCTCCATCGAGAGGGGCTCCCAAAAAATGTTTAATCCGTGCACAAATCCTCCACCTACCTTGTATTCCCCCGGGAACCTCACTTGGTCATCGCAAAGCCCGTATTAACGATTACAAGCGATCTTCGCTGAATTATGCAAGAAGTTACACACGTAACACGTGAAAGAGCGTCGTGTAGAACAGCCCATTCGCTCTCCCGCGAACAACTATAACTACCTACCTCGCTTGTACCAAGTTGACAATAAACTACTGTGGACCGGAAGCGGTAGTTAAATTATGCAATAGGATATGTATTCAGGTGTTGTAGAGAGAGGATCATTTCCTGCGAGATTTCAGGTCGGAGACAAACTTGCATGCTATCGAGGATGGGGGAACCCCTATCCTTTATGCGTTTATTGATCATCAAGTGCACGATATTACGTTTGTTAGTGCTGATGCGGGGAATTCAGATATATTATACTAATCAACAATGTACCTCTGTGATCAATAAAATGAAGTAGAGAGGAGCCGTTTAACTACAAATTATATTTCGAATCAAATATTCATAGTTTATGATTTATATTGCATAAAGGTTTGTACAACCCATTTCACGACAATATATGTGATTAATAGTATATATATATATATATATATATATATATATATTCGTGAATTTATATCGTTAATTTTTCTCTCTCTATCTCTCTCTGTGCGAATATTTCACAAATGTATAATAATAATATAAAATATGTATATATCGTATTATCCATTTAATCTTTTTGTTAATTTGAAATTATTTAGTATTGTAAATGTTTCTATTCTTATACCTTAATTTTTATAACGATGATAAATCTTCAATTCAAAAATAAAACTTTTGACATATTTATTCTCTCGATTGCGTTAAATATTTTGAAATTATTATTATTGTTTATATATTGATAAAATGTACAAAGTACTTAATGATTTTTATTTTACTTTTTATTATGCAAGGAATTATAAATATAATTTTTTCATACACTTTTGTTTCTTTTTAAATTATTTCTGCTATGTAATATGCAATTAACATCCTATATAAAATAATGGCTTTAACGTGTATGCCAACAAATTTGGAGTAATTTATTTATTAATAAATTAAATAATGCACTTTTTTACCCCGTCGACAGATGAAAAAATCTTAATTCTATTATTGAAGTTATAAAAAGAGCACGCGAATAATAATAATTTATAGGAACTATGTACATTAATAGAGACTATGCACAAACACATAATAATATTAATACATTCTGTCTACAATTGTAAATATACATATATACAGAGAACGTGGTCTACATGCGAAAGATGCATTCTATTCTTAACAAGCTCTATTCCACCGTATCGCCTCTAACGAGCAACCCTAAATAAAGCTCCAATGCCGGCAAATAAAAAGCAATTGTTTAACTAAAATAACATAAACAAAAAAAAACATAGTGTGCTGCGGTTTGTACTTACTGTTCACGTTCCTCCAGCTCGACCACCCGGTTACTGTCTGTGTTTTGTTTAGCAAGTCCAAATTAAAAAGTAGAGCAGAAACGAATCAGTTTCGTGTTAGTGAAAACTACTGAACGAACGCATGCTCGCTGCCGTAATATTAACTGTCATTAATTATGAATAAGACTCGTATATGTGTATTTTTTTTTCAGGAACAATTTGTAAGCAAGCGTTATTTTGTTGTACGATTTTTTTCTATCAAAACTTTCCTACACATCAGCGAAAATAATTTTCTAAGCAAGTATCTTACATTTTGTGCTTTTTATATTGTATCGATTGTTTCGCAAAAACAATCATATATGGTTTATATTAAAAATATACTCAATTCAATTTTTTTTAAATTAACTCATAAAGCATTAATATATATTACAGCACAGAATTTTGTAGATATGTAATTTTACTACCATATTTTATTTTTCTCAAATATTCGTGTTAATTTTGCAAAAGTCACATGTATAGTTATAGCTATATGTACAGTTAAATAGAGCAATTAATTTTTTATTTGTTGCGTGAAAATAACGCAATGGAAAAACTATTAATAATAACGAATAATAATTAAATAATATGCTTCGTCTTAATTATTACAGAATGTCAGTTTTGTGTCAGCGATGCTAAAAGTAGATTCTGTTATCTTTCTTAATTGTAATGCCATTAAAATTTTACAGTTGAAAATTGTAAATTTTATTTACGGAGTTGCGGTGGACAATATTAACTTTTTTACGAATGAACTTACTTTGCATGTATATCTGATATTGATGAATCATATTTGTTAGTTCAAATTTTATTATGCAAAAGAATTAAAACAGTATATGTCACTGATTCAGAATTAGACACAGCTATATATTGTTATTATAAATTTTATTTATAACACTATGAGAAAAAATGGAAATCATAATTAATCAATATCAGTGACTTTATTTATGTCTAAAGCAGAATTGTTCTTCAATAATAAAGATTAATGCGTTAAATAAAGATATATTTTTTTAATACAATAATAAAAAAAAATAATGGCAAATAAGAGCAATTGCTATTAATTTTTGTTTATTATTGTATTTATTTAAAGAGCTTGAAATTGATCTAGTTATATTTTTTTAAATAATTTCTACTTATTTTCACGAAATCGATTCTTTAAAATAGAAATTAATTTTTAAAATATATTTGAATTATTCTGTGATAAAATATTTATAAAATTTTGATAAGAAATATTAACATCATTATCTCGTAAAATATCGCATTTTTGTAATTTATATTATATTGTGTATTTTATTTAATATAAAAAGAAAAAATATTATTAGATGTTATTGAAATTTGAATCAATATTACAGCAGCGTAACACGCGTTTGTTCGTAACAATTGTTTATATTTATATATGTATCTCTATCTAAATGGAAATTTTACACGTTGTTTAGCTACTTTATACAAATATATCAAATAGTGAGCATGCTTTTATTCTACTTTGGCATGAACTGTATATAAGATATAATATTTTATACAACATGTGTAATATAGATTTCTACGTTTGTTTCGGACTGGGTTAACTGATGTTTTCTGTCAAGAAATAAAATATACTTTCCGGAACACAAAATCTACTTTTTCAACAATAATACGTAAATATCAAACGAATCAGTTTAATGGATGTTTACACACGAATTCATGTGGTTTAAGATATACTTTGATATACTTACGATTTTACGCGCGTTTCAAGCCATTATTTGTTACGAGAAGATTTATCACTCAAAGTGAGAATTACGTTGACAAAGAAAGCACAAAATTAACACAAGTGATTAATTAATAATTTTAAATACGAAACAATAAATTTGCACGTTCAAGTTTTTTGTATGTACCAATTTTTTGAAAAGATATTTTTTATATCAACAAAAGTTTATAAAAATGATATCAAATATATAAATATAGAGACAATATCACAGTTTTTACCTAAGATTAAAAAATTATGTTATTATTATTTATTGAAAAAATATAATTTTCTTAATTGCACTATTTTTCTGTTTAATTATAGCAATTGTCGATTTCTCATCAAATTATTGAAAACATTGTTTATAAGTTTTATAAAATGATATTTATCAGGATTTTAATTTCTATGTGCATATACTGAAATATGTATAATAAATTTCTCCGCAAAATGTATTTTGATTGCAAATAATTCAGAGTAATTTGGATTTTTGATGTGCGTGCGCGAAATATTTAAGACACACTACAAAATAAAAAAAACGTGATTGTCGTGATAAAATTTGGAAATTATATTAATTTGACGTCTATCCAAAATATATATATATATATATATATATGATAATTCTGCTTTTACGATCTATTTCATGCAAGTCGCCGATAGCGATCGTGTGATATATCAGATGTAGAGTGTGATATATCAAAGAACGATATGTATCAAGAGAACTTACATTTCATTTGACTGCGTTTACGTCGACACACGATGTAGATGGCCACGCAGATTAGTATTAGGACCAGTATCAGGACCACCACTACGACGATAATAATTAGCAGCAAATTACCCTCTAATTGATGCCACCAAGGTATATGACCTGCAACACGATAGGTTGTAATGTATAATAATCGATAATGACAAGCAATATATGTATAAAGGGAGTAATTGCACGCACAAGGTATTTTCATTATTTCAAAATAAGCAGTGTTTGCTGTTATTTAAATAAAATTATATAGATGATCATCTAGATGAAACTTTGGCATCATCTTATCTTAATAAAAATATGTATTATCTATATCTGCATCTTAGATAAAAAAAGTGTTATCCTTATTAAATCATCTAGAATAATTTTCAGACAATTTTGGTTTAGAATCATAGCCAAGTATTTAAATATAGTAAAACTTAAGCAGTAAGAGATAAAAATTTATAAATAAAAATATGAATACATATATTTTTATATCCCTTTTATAATTTACATTTTTTTAATAACTGTGTTTACATAAGCAATTTTAAAAATTATTATCTAGAAAATTATCTAGATGAATCGCCATATAATTTTATCTTTTATTTAGATATATTTAAAACAAAATCATCTCTATTTGATTTAAAAAGAATTTACATATTTTTATCTCATCTTTATTTAGCTAATTTTAAAATCATCTAAGCACAACATTGAAAATAAGTATGGCGATACCACAATAAACGTTACAACAAGCAATGAAAAAAAAAGATATTTTTGATTTATATGGCGCGATTAATCCTTGTATAGCGACTTTTGTTGCAGGCGATATAAATATACGTACATATCGAGTTTCGTCAAAACTATATAAAAATATCTAAAAAATTGCGCTGAAATAGAGAGGTAGTAAAAAAAGAAATAAAATAATTAGAAAGGGGACGAAATATATCTATTGAATTTCAAATTCGCAAAATTGATCCTCAATTCATGCTGCAATAGCTAGAACATAAAGTCAACAAAAAAGTTTTTATTTTAATTTTTTCCATTTACGTAGAGTGTATTTTGATTACAATTGCAGAAGAAAGAATTGTATCATTGAAAGTTCTACATCGTAATATAATATGAATACTAAATGCTAATTATACAAATAGCAATTATATATACATAAGATATACACATATTATAGACCTGAAGTAATATAGACTTACTTTTATGTCCATGGTGGGCTGCAAAATAACAAAATTTCCTAAATATTTGCGAACAAGGGATCAAAAACTCATCACTTTGATGCGATTAAAAGTTAAAGAGGAATTAGAATTTATCACTTTAAGGTGATTATGTAATTGCATAAGTAATTTTATGCAAATACGCTATAAAATTATAACATGAAAAATGTCATAAATAATTATGGTATTAAATATAATGCGAATAAAAATGTAGTAATATTCAAATATATATGTATATCAAATTATACTTATATTAATTATAGATATAATATTTAAAAATTTATATACAATATTTTAATATTAATTTATTAATATAGACAGAATGTTTTAAATCTTCTATTACACGTATCTTTTATAATATTCCTAAAGATATGTTTGATTTTATCGTATCTATGCGGAAAATTCACTCTCAACAAATATTCAGAGTGAAAAACTTTATCTTGCTCGCAACTTTTCCATTATACATATAAATTCATGAACTTTTTTCTGCACGGTTGTTTACAAAGAGACTTTTATATTATATTAATATATCTTTTTTATGTACACATTTTACGTTTCCACACAAATAAAAAAAAAACAAAAAAACTGTGTTAAAACGCGATAATATTTTCTGATACAAAAAGTCGGTGTGTTGAGAACTTGTTGACAAATACTTCTACTTCCTTCGCGAGAAAAGTGTGTGTATATGCACTGGCTCTCGCTATTAGCGAATCGATGAAAAGTTTGTTGCACCAACCTGGTATGTCGCGCTCGCACGGCACGGAGTGGCCGATTGTGTTGTTCGCTACACAGACGTACGTTCGGAAGTTGGTGATCGAAGTATCGAGGAGCATGTAACTTCGCCCGTTTCGCATCTCCGCGATTTGCTCAAGCGTGTCGTTCTCATTCTTCAGGGACCAGCTGAAGTCCGTCTCCTTTGGATTCGCGACGGCCGAGCAGACCACGTAATCCTGGCCCTCGAATCGTTCCTTCTCTATGTGGCATTCCGGTTTAACTGCATGGAAAATTGTACACACGTAGTTAAACGTTGGCAGAGTTGTGCGAAAAGAGGGATCCAGGTGTATACCTAATATAATTAATGGAGGTATAGAGATCCTAAACGCAATTGAGTTTCAGTCCTGTTTTATCGACAAAATATGACGTTAGATTCAACTATAAATCTATTTATTGGCTATACAGATTGTTTTTTCCTGAAATTATAGAGCACTTCGCGGTAATTTGTACGGGAAAAAATTTATCAATCTGTATAATTTCATATATTCAGGTGTAGAACTATAAATTGACGAAAAATCAGATTGAGAAATCCTTTTTCTGTACCGCGAAGTAAACCGCGAAGTGCTCTAATTTTGGATAAAAAACAATCCTATAGCTAATAAAGTAGATTTATAGTTGAATCTAATCTCACATTTTGTTAATAAAACAGAACTGAAATTCAATTACGTTCAGGATCTCCTTAACAACACAAATTTGAAGATTTTTTAAAAATAGTATGCAGAAATGCAAAGTGAAAAATTTTTCCTCAAATTAAAAAATGGGAGGAAAATATCACGATTAATGTATTCCACATCTGTCTTTGCAAAATGTAATATTTAATAGTTAATATTTAACAAGTAAAATATTTAATCTTTCCTTTTTCGCGGAATAAATCTTCTTGCGATTGAAAATGCAGAGTGGAAACGTACATTGGACATTCATAACCATCGAGATATTCAGGAAACCGTGACGATTTGACGCCTCGCAGTAGTAAGTGCCGTTGCTACGTCTGGGCACCGGCATCTTCAAATCGAGCACGTGACCCTCCATAATGGTGTCGGTGGAGCCTTCGCGGAACCACCGGAAGTTCGGTTTCGGTCGCGCCTTCGCGTCGCACTCGACTATTTCCGCGATCGTGTCCACCGTCACGTTGATTAGCTTCTTCGAGATTGTGATGTCTTCCGGAGGGACTTTTGAGAAAAAAATATCGAATTTTAAATCATTTTTATGCAACTGAAAATCAATATATTTTAAATTAGTGACAAATCCTTTTTTCTGGTAATTTCCCAACTTATAGAAATATTTCCCGCGCACTATAAACAATCTGGAATTAAAACTACTGAAATTTATTGCTGGAATTTATATTTTTGTAGAATTTATAGTTTACGATTTGAATTTAAACTACTAGAATTTATATTTTATATTTTATTTTACGCCAATGTATTTCAGCATAAATCAGAATAGACTTTCCATTAATCCTTCTGCCGTACCTGGGTGTCCAAAGCAAGTTTGAATGTTAAAAATGTGTCAAAACTTTTCTCCGTCCGAAACAAAATATAAAAAACCTTTGTATTTGAAAACTTTCTAAAATATAAAAAATATTTGCAGTCGATACGCATACATTAATAAAAAATTATTGACATAGAGGACTTAATTAAGAAAAAGAACGGAGATTTCTGTCCTTCTTTTATGAACGTTGGCTTAAATATCTTTATCATCTTTACTATCGAACGAGCAGAAGTACGCAGTTGAATAAAAGGAAAGAAGCTTTGACTGAAACGTACATTCAACATGAAAGTGAGTGCTGCTTTCTACGCCCGGGCCAATTCCGTTGTTGCTGCTTTTGCAGGTGAATTTGACGTTATCCTCGTCACGGTCAAGCTGACCGTCCGGCCAGACAGTCAGATTCCATACGAGGGTTGATTGGATACTCTCGAAGTCGTTGGTCCTCGGGTCAGGCGGATGATAAACGTTCAACACGTAATATCGATTCGTTTTCGAGAAGTCCATAGGTATATCATCCCTCAGCCAGGAAATATTGCAAATCGGGGCGCACTCGACCCAACACATGATGCTCACGTTAGGGGAGTTGTAGACGTAACCGCGATACGAGTGCAGCTTCTTGATAAACGTCGGGGCCGCTAATGAAAAGCGATAACTCTCGGTTAAGCGTGGAGAATCTGTTATTCAGTAATCGCGAGAAATGTCGGGCAAGATCTATTTTATCAGGCACTTATAGAGAAAGAGTGCTCTCTATATATTTGATTTAAAACGTCAGATTTATTATGGAAACCGACATGTGCCACGTTGAGTATTTATGCGCATGCCAATTTAAATTTTCCAAAATATCTAAATATTTAATTTTGACAGGAATATACGCTTCTGTTAGGTTATTTATTTATGTACAGAATTATTCTAAGTGATTTATCCAATTTAAAAAAAAAACTGTACAAGTTTTGTCTCGTATCTTATAAATGTTTAATGCGATCTTTTTTAATTATATGTCACGAGAGACGTCAAGATTATAGTCAAATTATTCCTATATTCTAGCGTTTTTACTGATTCCACAGTGTAACAATGCGATTTTTTAGGATTGTGAACAACAATGACATGTATACAGCTTTTTTAAGAGGATGCTAACTAGGTCTGTTTTACCGATAAATATTATTTTTGTTTAACTTTGCCTCGGCTACAGAAGAAAATGCTTTACTAGAATAAAACATTTATAATAAACAAATCTGGGTTACTACATATGTATAAAGGGACAAGAAAGCTAAATAATTACAGTTTTTTATCGATCTTTTTGTATTGGGTCAACCTAATCTAAACGATAAGAAAACTAATTATTTAACTTTCTTCGTTTCTTTTTATATATACATACATATAATAGCCTAAATTTGTTATCATGTGTGTGAATAACTTTAATTCTAATAAATAATTTTTCATTCTGTATAGCCAATAAAGAGTTAAATAAAAATAATATTTGTCGATAAACCACCTAGATAAAATCATTTAAATAAAATTTTGGCGTTATCTTTATGTAGATAATAAAAATATGTATTATCTATATCTGCATCTTAGATGAAAAAAAGAGAGACAAAACTCGGACAGTTTTTCCTTTAATATTTAATCAGTGTTATCTAAAGAAAATTATATAGATATAATCATCTAGATAAAATTTTGGCGTTAGCTTATTTTTATATAGATAATAAAAATATGTATTATTATTTTATATCTGCATCTTAGATAACAATCTTCACAAAATTTGTTAGAATAATATTCAGATAATTTGGTTTAAAGTTATAACACATAAAATTACTTAATTAGTAGAATTTAAGCATTGAGCATTAAAAACTTATAAATAAAAGTATGAATATATTTTTATATCATCCTTTTTATAATTTACATTTTTTATAACTGTGTTTACTTAAGCAGTCTTAAAAACAATATTTTCTGAAAGTCATCTAGATGAATCGCCATATAATTTTATCTTTAGATATATTTAAATTTCAAATCATCTTCATCTTATCTAAGATAAATTTACATATTTTTATCTCATCTTTATCTAGATAATTTTAAAATCATCTGAGCACAATACTGTGTCTCACTAATCGTCGTGCATTTGTCCACTTCAAAAATACCTATGATCATTTAAAATTATACGAATCATTTAGAATAACTCTGTGTAACAATATAGCTAACTAAATATTAGAGGAATTAAATTGTTTGAAGTCTTTAATGGCGCTGTGTTGATCTGGTTTTGAAATGTCGCTACGCCACTCGTTAAATCACTGATGGCTTTTAGTGTCGTGCGTGTGTGAGTTACCGGATGCATTGACATGTGTCGCTCACCAGATACGTCGATAAATGTTGTGGCCGGATCGCCGTCGCCGGCTTCGTTGTAAGCCAGGCATGTGAAATTCGCCTCGGTTTCCAAATTAACCGACTCGATGAAGAGCGTCGCGTCGTTCTCGTCCGGAAGACGGTGCCAGCCGCGCAACCACTTGAAGCCCGACACCTTCGGCCGTCCGGGATCCAAAACGAAGCAAGTTATGGATAATGGATGCTTCTTCACCACTTGCCGAGGTTCGTACGTTATCGATGCCGGCCCGGGTTTATCTGTGGAAATATTTTGAGAGTATGCAAAAATATATATGTGAAAGAAAGAGAGAGATCAGATTAATGTTTATCAGATTAATTAACACAACACATTATTTTTGATACAATAATAATATTGTATTGAAGGTAACCCAGTAAGCAAGACATATTTAATCAACATTTTAAAATATTGATTTTATATACATTTTCCAACGTTATAATATAATGTTTTATAAATATGTTTAAAATATTATTAATAAATATTTAAGAAAATATTTTAACTAATGTTTTAAAAATATTATTTAATAACATATTGTTCTCAAAATATTAATAAAATATTTTAAAAACGTTAATTTCAACATTACCGAAACCTCGATGTCAACGTTTATTCATAATGATGTTGCATACAATGTTAAAAACTACATACTTGATAACAATAATAACGTTGTAACAATGATTTTTTGCTTACTGGAATAACATTGTATTGAAGATAAAGTATATCGATAAATAATTTATCAATATAATAATTAGTGTCAAAGTAAATGAATGTTTTTATGCTTAATGTTATTTGATATTGATGATAAAATATTAAAGAAAAGCTTGTACAGCTGTGTTATTTTTTTAATTCTTAATTTAAAGTAGATTTTATAAAATCTACTTTAAATAATTTATTATTCGTGAAATTTTGGAATAGTATTTTATTTTTAATTTTATAATATAGGAAACATTTAAAGAATTAAATATGTATATGTATATATTTTGATATCTTTTAATTCTTTAACTGTTTCCTGTATGATATAATATAAAATTATAAATAAAGTACGATTGTTTAAAATGTTCCAGAAACTTAAAATGAATTTTATAAATTATATAAATAGTTTTGTGTGTAAGATTTTCTATATTTTATTATTAATAAAAATAAAATTTATACAACACAAAATATTATACATATATATATATAGAATATATTTGATATAATATTATATATATATATATATATATATATATATATATATATATATATTGTATATTTAAAGTAGAAAATGAGAGACATTCTAATATTTTTTAATTTTTTAAATGTTTTCTATATTATATAACAAAATTATAAATAAAATACGATTCCAAAATTTGTCACAAACTGTAAAATAGATTTTATAAATAATAAAAAAAAACAGTTGTTTGCAAACTTTTCTACATTTTATTATTAATAAAAATAAAATCAAATAAGCGCCGAAGATGATCGAAAAATCGATCAAAACGTTCATCTTATTTTAATTTACTATGAAATTGTAACAATAAATTTTGATTTGATTACGCTATTCTAAAACTGCGTTTTAGATTCCCATGCCAGTGATATATTGTTAAAATCAAGTAAAATGTATACAATATAAAAGAAAAGAAAAATAAAATTATGAATAATGCTTCATAAAATATCATTTCGTATTTCTCATATATATATACAAACTATTTCATTTATAATTTCACATCATACGATATAGGAAATATTTGAAAAATTAAAATACATGTATAATAAAATAGAATAATACGAGAGATACTTTCGTCGTGGATTGATCAGGAAAATTAAATTCGATATCGCATTTCCGACAAATATACATAAAATAAAAATTTCAAAACACCGACGCGTAATCCGCCATAATTTCTGCTTATATAATTAAAAAGCGCACGTGAGGTATAAAGCGGCGGATAATAATGAACGTAACGAAATTACGGTGATATATGGTTAGCGCGCGTTATAATGGATAAATCTCGCGCTAACTCTCCTACTCGTCTCCGTCACCGCATAACAGGAATGAGTGACGCGTGACAGAGAGGACTTACAATAAACTATGACAGGCGTGCTCGGCGAGACTGGTCCCCAGCCGGCCTCGTTTCTACCCTCGCAGGAGTAGTTGCCGTGAAAGGTGCGGCCGACAGATTCCAGCAGCAGCTTGCTGGGATCGATGTCGCAGAACGTCGACGATTCCTCGACGTTCGTCGTCATGGCAGTGCCGTTGTTGTTGTTGTTCCTCGGGCAGTCCGGAAGTTCTTTCAATAGATCACCGTCCAAATACCAACGGACGGCTGTCAGCATCGCCGGATTCCCGGCATCGACCTCGCACGTTAACGAAACGTTCTGACGATCTGCCTCGTTCACAGGTGTTTCCGGATCCATTATCACCTCCACCACCGGTTTGTCTGCACGAATATATATGCGTGTGGGACCAATATACGGGAATACGAGTGCAAAGCGGAATCAAAAAATAGGAAAAAATCTCTCCTCGATTTTATTTCCGATTGTAATCTATAATAATATATCTAATAATTCTAACCTAATTCTAACCTAAAAATTTATAGTTATCTAATAATTCTAACCTAATTCTAACTTAAAAATCTATAATAATATATCTAATAATTATAACGCGATAATACTCGGGTAGGATGTAAAAACCATCGTTTTTTTTCTAATAAAAGGATAAGCTATATATATCCCTTGTAGCTCTGAAAGCTATACGTCGCGAGAAATGACGAGAGGATAAAGTGTGTGTTTCCGAGAGATAGATATATCCTTTCGAGATTTGAGATAGATTGAGATAGATTGATTATTCGGGGCTTTTTACGAATCTCAATTTAATCTCTTTCTGTCAATGAATGGATACTCAACCCTTTAGAACCGATTCTTCAATAAAGGCTTAGTTTAATAAAGCAAAACGTTCCTTAATTATTTGTTTTTCCTTTACTATTGCATGTTACAAGTTGAGGACAAATCAGTTAGTTAAATTTAAGTTTAAAGCAAGTTAACTCGTTGTGCGATTCGAACAAAACATAATTAAAATTACTGACCGAAATTAAATTAAATTAAAACAAAACGAAACTTAATTAGAAATAATGCTTTCTACAAGAGAGAGCATAAATTAAAAGTCGAGAAATTGAGAAAAGAAGAGGAAATATTATAAAAACATAAACTCGAAACTGAGATTGAATTATAAAAATTATATTTTTTCACAAAATTATTTGCTTATTAAAATATTATTTGTGTTTTTACCAGTAAAAAGATATGAGTAAATTGTTTTTCGGAAAATGCATGATTGTAAAGAAAGGTATATACATATAATACGCGAAGTTTTTATATTTCTTTTTTTATTTATATTTTAATTATGAATTTTATAGTTGATTAATTAAAAATAATTGAAATCTTATAATAAACTCATTTTATTCAAAATTTCAAAATAATGTGATCTCAATCTTGCAACACGATTTTTTTCTATTTTAAAATATACTAATCTGCTTACTTCAATAAATTCTTTAGCAAGTATTATAAAAAATATTTAACATTTTTAGATATAGTAAATAATGCATTTTTAGAAATAAGAATAAAATAAATAATGATTTTTGTATATTTATTAAACGTGTTTAAACCATCATCTTCCACGGTTTAACTATATTCACGATTAAACTTCTAACTATGTTTGATTAATTTATTAAAAAACAATAAAATGTGTCTTAGCAGAACTTAAACTTTAATCTATATTTAAATTATTCTTGAAAAACCGGTTCTAATGTTAAAAGTGTATAAGAATTTTTCTTCGCTCGAAACAAAATATGGAAATTTTTTATTTGGAAAATTCCTAGAATATAATAGATTGTCCAATAACTGTTATAAAAAAAATTATCGCAATTTAATGAATTGAAATCACCATGGTTGGTATTAGGGCTCGTGATTATCGATTCTAATCGATTAATCGAATTAATCGATTTTTTTGATTAATTAATATATTTATTTAAAAATTTTTTTCTTCTAGAATAATTAATTATCATTTTTAATATGTTTAACCGAATTAAACCAATATTTTTACACTTTATTATGCATATGTATATATACAAAGCAATAAATCCGTTAATTTGAATATATGTAAGTTTTAATGTAACACTTTTTTCTTTTCTTTGTAGACACTGCACACTACACAGTTATATTATAAAATTCTAATAAAAATAACAAGTAATTGAACAAATGTTTAATCGATTAATGATTAATTAGTTTCGGCGATTAATCGATTAATCGATTAATCAAAATTAAATAATCGTTTATCAATTTTTTTTTTAATTAAAATCGGTTAATCAATTAATCAAATTTGATTAATCGTTTAATCGAGTATCAATCGTCTCTTTCGATTAAAATCGGTTAATCGATTAATCGGTTACCATCACGAGCCCCAGTTGGTATCCGTACAAGAAAGAGAGAAATTGTGCATTGACAGAAGGGAAAAAGTTAAAATTGTAGGGATTTCGAATTTTCATTCCGACCGACAGCTTTGTGTATCAAGTAACGTTGAGAAAAATCGCGGCTGTTATATCAATCTCAGATAATACGTACAAAAGACCGAAACCTCTACGTCGTCCTCGGAAACGGATGAGCCGGCGTTGTTCTCCAGGATGCATTTGTAAGAACCCATGTCGCTAGGAGTTGCGTTTTTCACCGTGAGCGCCGTTTGTTCCGTGATTCCGCCGTCGTAATGCTCTTCGTTTAATACTAATTCTTCGTCGTCTCGTAACCTACATCAGCCGATTAGGAGGAGAAATAAAGAGGAGATAGCGGCAAAATTTATTTCGTCTTTTTTTCCTTTTTAATACGGGCGAAAATAAAGACGAAAATGTTGTGCTAGTTTCTGTTGCTAATTTGTCCGATGGAAAAAATTTTTTCCAGCAAGAAAATAATAATGTGGATCCGAAAGGATTAATCTTCGATCGAGATTCTCGTGCAGATGTATAGCTTTGTCTAAAAATTACTCACCACGTCACCTTTATCAGCGTAGCTGGATTTGCCTCGTAATCGCAGAATATTAAAAAGTCGTCTGTCTCATTAACCGTTATATTGTTTGGCTTCATTTTGATTATCGGCGGATCTGCGACAGATAAAACGGGGAGGAGATTATATAAGGGATAAAAAAATACACGAGCAGGATTTCGACGTAAGTCGCAAAGAGAAATGAAACATTTGTCAGAGATAAAGTTCGCGAATGTGAAAAGAAAAGGAAGGTATATAAAAGACTAAATGAGTCGTTTAATTAAAACGGATAATTTTGATCTCTTTTTCAAGCCCTGATATATATTCACGGTGTTGCAAAAACGTTTTGCACTTTATACATTTCGCACTACTAATTCTTCTGTTTGATATATGTATCATGCAATGCGAGCTTTTTCAAATTGTTCAATTTTTGCTAAACTTTGTGTACACTTTAATATTTACTAAATATTTATTAACTTATAATTTTATAATATAAACATTTTTATTAGTCAGTTTTAAGAAAATTATAATTTTTAATTATAAAATATATTTATATACAAAAATTTCTACGCATATAATTGGAATATACGTATATATACTTTACAAAGAATTATTTGTTTTAATTTTTAAATTACAATTATATTATTTTAATCATATTTATTTGATCAACATATTTTATATTTATTTATATTTTATTTATATTATATATTAATATTTGTTTTATTATACACGTATTTATAATATTTATTTTATTAAATGTGTAGTAGAAGTTTCTTTTCTTTTATTATTTTACTATTTAAAATTATATAGATTTCTTTTATCTTTTTACACAATTGCCATTTAAAATCTAATAATATATACAAAATCTAAATTTAATTTGTAATAAATAGAACAATGTAAATCTAAATCATAAGGAAGGCGTAAAGAGCCATACGCGGATGTTTCCTACGAACATTTACAGCAAAACTAAATTTTCGTTGGAAACAAAGCGTGCGCAAGGCACGTATTATTCTCGGTGTACCAACCAAGACTTTAAAAATTGAAATAATCTTACTTGAGATTTAATTTCAAAAACACCCTAACCCTTCTGCGGAATTAATTAAATAAATGTAAGAGAAAAATATAGATCCGAAAGTAATAAATAGAAAAGACTCTGACAACATAAACACAAAATCAGGTGTGAAATAGACTAATAATATTTGCAGATATTAGGTGCAATAAACTTATTTTTAAATTTTTTCGAATTATTTTGAACGTTTCAGTGCTTTCTTCGAATTATCTTCAGCAGATCGGCAAAAATAACAAATTTATTTTTTTCAAATTCTTAAAAGAGAAAGAAAATAATTCTAGTCTGTTGTACATTACAAGTAGTTATATAGTAGTTCTATAGTAGTTATATAGTACTATATAAGTACTATATAACTTATATAGTACTATATAATAGTATATAACTACTACTATATAACTATATAGTTAACTATATAACTACTACTATATAACTATATAGTTATATAGTAGTTATATAGTACTTATTAAGTATTCTAGTCTGTTGTATATTACAAGTCCTTTTAATATCTGATTTCCTATTAAATTTAGATTCATCTCCCGGGCCACACAATATCGTGCACTTAACGTGCAGCACAGAATGAGGGATATAAAACAAAATTCTCTCGTAAGAGAGTACGTAGACACACGAGAGTGGGTTGTCACACAGAGCTAGTAGGAACGTTGGAAACGCGCCAAACTCGACGTCTAGAGTTTCTCGTTTCCAATCCATATGGGGTTCTCGTTCCGGCTGCAAAACGAAAGTTTCTCCGTCATTTCGTACTGTAACTGGATGCATCAGGGAAATACAAATGCAACCGTTCATTTTCTTTTTATCCGCTTCGCGTAATCAAGACATCGCATCTTTGGTGAGAAAAAGTCGCAACTCCGCATTTCTGATTTTGGAATCATGGCTTGTCAATGTTGAATTATAATCGAATAATTATTATTCTTCTACTTTGATGATCCAATTATCCATACAGAGCAAAATATTTTTAAAATGTTTCTATGTCCGTTTTTTTACGTTTAAAACATATTTTTGAATATAGATTTAAACTAATATTTCAAAAATATCTATCAAATGTTTAAGAAAATATTATCTTATAAAGAACATTTTTTAAAATATTTTTAAGTTTTTTTAAATATTCTAAAACATGTTATCACCAAAAAATTTTAAATCATATTAAAATATACCTAAAACTATTTTTAAATGTTTTTATGCAATATTTTATAGAAATATTTAGAAATATTTTTGAAAACATTCATAATATTTTGTGCTGTATGGATATATTTCAACTTAAATAGCAAATGAAAAGTAAAGAATTATATGATGAATATAATTTATTTATAAGATATAATTCAAAGTATTATGTTTTATATTTTAAAGTAATAAATTGTAAATTTATTTATTAAAATTAATTTATTTATAAAATTTTTCTGATACTAACAATAAGTATTTTGAGATTAAATATCAAGCAGAAGAAAATATTTAATACTTATTGTGTCTTAACAAATTATATATATTTATATTATATAGTTTATTAAAAGGCAAAATATTAAACTGCAAGTTTAAAAGTTAAATTACAATATGTAAAGATAAAGTTTAACGAGAGTAAATATAAATTGAATGAGATTTATATAATTTTCTTTTATATTAAACTCTGAAAGTTTGAAGTTTAATTTATAACTTTATATCTTTAAAAATAGTTAAATTAAAATTGCGTCAGTTGATGAATAAAAATTGAAAAATAAGATTAATGAAATTTTTAATAATAAAGTAAAATTGTTAAAAGAATATAAATTAAAGTTTAGTTTTAAAAAAAAGAAATATTATTAATCAATATTATATTAATATAAATATTAATTAAAATAAATGTATATAAATTATTATTAAAATAAAGACAAAAAATTCCGTGAGTCTACAATTTAATCAAAATATTGATTGGAAAAGTAATCTAAATATAGACATTAAAACAAGTTAATATTTTGTTTAATAGGCATAATTTAACAATTAATTGCTTTTCCTTTTTGTCATTCCGATTTTTGAAAACATTCATAATATTTTGTGCTGTACTTTTACTTTTTAACAGTTGTAAATATATTTACATTTTCGGATATTGTAATGTTTGTAATGTAAACAGTTACAAATATAATCTTTTATTTTCTAACACATATTTCAGAGAGATCTGGAAATAAGATTATGTTTTCTCCAAAAAAATCACGTTAAAATATTACGAGAAAATATAAAAGCATCCGCGCACAAGTACAAAAGTTGTCTCTCTTCGATATATACCGTGTGTTAACTTTCCGAAGTATGCAACTGGAAAATCGTACAAACGTTGCGCGACTTATATAAGCCACTCTTTCAAAAGGGCAACATAAATATTTATGAAACGAGAAATATTCTTGAACTATGAAATTTTCTTCGCTTCTCTATCATATCAAAATTTTCAATTGCTCCTTTTGAACACACTTGCTTTGACTTTTTCAATATAAATTCAAGTCTGGACGATCTCCAATTATATATCCCTATTTTTATTTTATTTTATTTATTAATTTTTTTTTACTAAAGTCGCGATTTATTTTCAAAATGTACTTCGTTTAAAAAGTCATCGATTTTGAATAAAGATTTATATTTGTAATATATTATACATATATATTAATTAGAATTAAGATTTTGAATAAGACATAGATTTTGAGGTTTCAGTAATGTTGAAATAATTTTTAACATATTTTATTAATATTTTGAGAGCAATATTTATTAAATAATATTTTAAAACATTTATAAAATATTAGTTAAAATACTTTTTTAATATTTATTAATATGTTTTATTAAAATATTTTAAACACATTTCTAAGATATTATATCATAACGTTTAGAAAATTTATATAAAATCAACATTTCAAAATGTTGATTAAATATTTCTTGTTTATTGGGATTATACTTTTAAAAGATGATATTCGCTCCTAGAGATTGTGTATAAAAATTGATAATTTTTTTTTGCGAAAACAAGATAAAAATTCTTGAATTCAACAGTAGGGTAAAGTTCCCTTGATTGCTCGCTGCAAAGTTATATTAATTTGCATAGTATTATGCTGATGAATGGCGCATGGGTATGTAGAGTTATTTATTTAAAGGATTTAGTTTATAAGAGCTAAGTGCATGCAAATGTTAATAACCGTCCTTGTGTAGCTCGCGCAGCTTCGTGTCGACGTAGACTATATCCGGAGTATGCAAATGTGTGTGAGTTTGGGGTTACAACGCAATCTTGTTGCAGAGTTTCAATGCTATTAAACATAATTGTAATTATAAAATATTACGAACCGCGGTTTGCGCGGTTTATATTATTATTACTTATGAAAGAGAGATGGGAAACATTATTTTACACACGATTCAATTGCTTGCAAAGTTATTAAATGTTTGCTTACAGAGCAAATCAAATTTCGAGTTTCTCGAAGCCGAATTTTTAGCTTGTTCAATATTAATTAACACGATTAATTATAACATATATATGATATATTTTTCTGAAAAAATTAAATTCAAGAAATTTTTTCAAATTAACTTTTTTTATATCTGCAAATAAATCCACACATATATAATTGCAAATTGAGTAAAATTATAATATAATTTTATATAAAATATATAATTATATTATTATATATAATTATATATATTATATAATTTATTATATAACTTATTATGTAATTTTAATATTATATAAGCTATATAAATATATTATTATATAATTATATTATTATTGAATACACTCCTTAAAGAAATAGAGAACACTTTTCATATCCTAAAAATTACGCTATTTTCAAAACCACTGCAATTTGGTAAAAAAATACCGTAAATTGAAAATTAAAAAAGCATTTTGAAGCTTAAAGTTTCAACTTTAATGCGAAATCGGTGGTTTAAAAACATTTTTTATCTTTCCAGTCTATGCTTTAGGAAAGGACACATTGTTTTGCTTAACATTACATATTTTTGATGCTCTGGACTTTGATGAAAAAAATTACTCTCGAAAAATTCTACGTAAATTTTGTAAACTACATTTTTCTTTCAAAAAGCTATTTTTAAATTTTTCTATAATCTTTTTTGACTAATTGTAAGTAACATAATTTTGAAAGTAAACCTATATTTTTTTGATACGTTGTCGATATCTAGCGAAAAATTATTGTAGACAAAAGATTAATGAAATCTTTTAAAACAATTTTAACTTTAATGTTATCTGTGGTTTTTAAAATTTTTTTTAACTTCTCTGTTCTGTACTAAAAACAAATATATAGTTTTGTTTTTCAAAACTACGCATTTTAACTCGATAAAAAAATGTTTCGTGAAAAATTCTACTCGTGTTCCATAAACTACAATATTTTGCCTACAAAATGTTATTTTTAAAATTTTCTTACGATTTTTTTGACTAAATTATTTTGAAACTAAACCTGTATTTCTTTTTTAGAAATGATGTCGATACTCGGCAAAACATCATCATAGACAAAAAATTAAAAAAGTATTTTGGAGCTTGAAGTATCAACTTTAACGCGCTGTCGGTGTTTTAACAAAATTTTTTAATTTTTCTTTTGTTTTGAAAAATAAAGATTTAGTTATAAAATTGTGTAATTCGGTTAAAAAATCGTAAACAAATTTATTAAATAGTATTTTGTAGGCAAAATATTGTTTATAAAATTTGAGCAAATTTTGTCAAAAAATATTTTTTATTGAGATTCAGAATGTCAAAAAAATACATAATTTTAAGGAACAAAACAACGTGTCTTTTTTTAAAGCATACAACGTAAAGATAAAAACATCTATAAAAAACACCGATGTTGCGTTAAAAGAGTTGAAATTTCAAGTTTTAAAATGCTTTCCTAATTTTTTAATCTACGATGATTTTTCGCCAAGTTTTAACGGTTTGAGAATAACATAATTTTTAAGATAGAAAAAATGTTTATTGTTTTTTTTTAATAGTGTGTATATACATATAATAATATTAATATATAAAATTATATTAAAATTATAATAATATAATCATATAAAATCTATAATATACCTATATATTACATTAAAATTAAAATAGTGAAATATTTATATAAATAGAAGCCTATAAAAATTGAGAAAGAATTGCCGACGACAATAATAGAAATGATATCTTGGTCGTTATTTCGACTCGTAATGTATACTTACATAATACTTCGATCGTTATCGTTTCCTTCATCGGTTTCAAATCCTCGATACGGGTAACAGAATTCTCGGCATAACAGTTGAATGTTCTGCCATTGTCGTATACTGATGCCGTAAACGCGAGATTGCTTATCGTATCCGATGTACCATCCGCCTGCAAACATAAGTTGTTTTAACTTTAAACAACCGCGGTTAAAATATAATGTCAAACTTCTATTATTTATTACCATCAGTTTTGCTAAAAGCGTTTTAACCAAATACTTAAATTAGATATTTACTACCGCAATGGCTAAATAATAATTATTATAAATATTATAAATATTAATAATAATTATTATAATTATTACGAATAATAATAATTATTATTATATATATTAAAATATTCCAACTAATTGCAAATCCGGTCGGATGCAATTTAGATCATTATTTGAATAATTTATATTAGAATGACAAAATTTTTTCTTTACAAAATTAGTTTTTTTTATAAAAGTACTGAATATTTTGTACAATGTTGTTTTATAAAAAGCTTTTTACAATAAACGCGTTTTAATAATAAACTTTTATTTTATAAAGATTTAATATATGCACATATACATATACTCGTAATTATTTATAAAAGTGTCGAATTTTTAGAATAACATTTTATAAAATATTTAAGCCTTTTTTAAACAAATAAAAATAAAACTAAAAATCTGCAATATACATACACGTACATATAAATGATAGTTTATTGTATTCGTGGTAAGACTAATCAAATTTTGTGGCTATTTTTTCTCTCTTGTAAAATATGTATTATATATGTTTTATTATTATTTATTTAATACATTATAAGTAATTGCAAGAAACAAGATTATATTTGCCTTCAGTAAAAATGATTATTTTAACATAAGGTAATTTTTAATGAGATTTATATTAATTGAGATTTATATGTTTACTTATTGAAACAAACATACAGATTTTTACAAGGTATTCGAAAATATCAAAAATTAAAAAATAAATATATAAGCAAGAAAAGTTTTCTATACATCGAGAGAGGTTGTTTATAATTATGCAAACTATGATAATTACGCGAGTTTGTAATTTTGTGTATGCTAAAGATTTATTTTTGTTTACGTTTGAACCATGCTTTGCATTAAAAGTTGCAAATTCATAACATGTATAAATTAAATATGTAATTTTAGATTTTATTCATAAAGTGTGCGTTTTATGTTAGTCTACTTTCAGCTTTAACTACGTATCCTGCGATAAATTTTATTACACTTTTTAATTAACTATTTAAAAAAAAAAAATTTCATCTTAAAATCAATTATAATTTTGATTTAACAACATTTTAATAAAATTATGAAATTCTGCAAATTAAACGAGTAGCAACTGATAGGTATAAATATATCAAAATAGCTTGAGAAAATTTTGTGCTCATTTTTTATCCTTTATATTTATGAAAAAAAAAATTTTCTCTTTTCTGTTTTTTTTTCTTTTTATCGAATCTAACTGAATCTAGGGAAGCTGTTTCTTTATTAATTCCTCAAGTATGACGTCGATCGAGATTTGTGATTTATTAAAGCATACTGGAGGAGAGCAATATGGGGCAATATATTTGCCCGGAAATTGCTGTAACACCACATCTGAGCACGTAATATCCGTTTCTGCGCGACGGAAGAATGCAAGTTTAAAAATGTGATCCCCGCTTAATTCTCTGTTATGACGCGCCGCTCATGTCGGTAGAAAATTTGTGACGTGTGTATACATATAATTACACTTAGCCACTAAGCGAATATACATTTATATACTGTCTGCTGTCACGCTATGTCATGCGTCATCCCGATATCGTGCTTAGATGATTTTAAAATTAACTAGATAAAAAAATGAGATAAAAATATGTCAATTTATTTTAGATAAGATAAAAACGATTTTATTTTAAATACAGGGTGTCCCAGACCACCCCTTTTCTTTCAACTAAGCATTTTAGAGAAAAACGTTTTAGACAAAAATTGTATGGTTTTCAAAGAAAATAAGATGGTGCCATTGATTTGACCTTGAAAAGTCATTTGAAGGTCATGTGGAGGTCAACTTTAATTTCTTAAATAAAACTATCTATTTTTTATTACATATTCTTTGTACGGTTTTGAGGGGAACATAAGATAGTGCCATTAATTTGATCTTGAAAAGTCATTTGAAGGTCATATGAAGGTCAACTTCAATTTCTTAAATGGAATTATCTAGTTTTCATTACATATTTTTGTACATTATCTCAAGAACTATCCAAAACTCTATAATAAAGTATTTTTTTCATGGAGTATTCTTTGAGTTATAAAGATTTGAAGCTAATAATTTTTTGACATATAATATAAAATCTCTTGTAAAATATTTAGTTTTCGGTAATCATACCTTAATACTTTCTTGCACGGAATAATGAGACCAATCAATTGGTGTAAAACAAACACATAGTTGCTTATAAAAAAAGTATGCAGCTGCATATTGAATATTACATATTCTTTTTAAAACAATTATCTGTTTTTTTATACCGATTGATTGATCTTATTATACTCTCCAGAAACGTATTAAGGCGTAATTATATATATAAAAAAAAAAAATAAAATTATATGGCTATTCATCTAGATAACTTTCTAGATAATAATTTTGAAGACTGCTTATCTAACAGTTAGTTATAAAAAGAAATGTAAATTATAAAAGGGTTATAAAAATATAAGCGTATTCATATTTTTATTTATAAATTTTTATCGCTTACTACTCAAGTTCTTTTATGTGCTATGATTCTAAACCAAAATTATCTGAAAATTATTCTAGATAATTTATTAAAGATAATACTTTTTCCATCTAAGATATAAATAATTGGGATTGGATAAGAGAGAGAGTTAATGATATTTTAAAACTGAGTTAAGTTAAAATTAGTTGCTTATAAAATTAATTTAATTAAGTTAAAAGTTGTATAAACAAAAATTTAATCAGTTAAGTTAAAATTAAATTAACTGAAGTTAATTTTTAAAAACATTATTTATATTAAATTAGAATTTTATTTGTTAAATTTTTAAAAATTTGTAATTACAAATAATAAAGAAATTTTGATTTTTATATAAAAATATATTTTTTGATAATTACAATTGATGACAAATAAACATAAAAATCAATAATACTTTAATTTAAAAATGATGTGTTTATAACTTATAAAAAAGCAATAATAGTATTCAGAGATAAAAAAATTTAACTTAGGACAAAATTTAATAAGTTTAAGGTCAAAAATAACTAGTTAAAGTTAAAAATTAATACATTTTAAATTAACTAAGCTAAGTTAAAAGTTATTAGCTTTTTAACTTCTTTTTTAACTTTTAACTAGTTATTACCCAATCCTGTAGATAATATATATTTTTATTATCTATATAAAGCTAAGATGACGCCAAAATTTTATCTAGAAGATCATCTATATAATTTTATTGAGATAACACTGTGTTTCAAATATAATCAGACGCTCTTTTAGTGAACAATGACAATTTTATGACATCGCAATCAGGCGAAATTGCAAATGACATATAAATTCGCGGTAATACAAATTCGCGAGTTATATTTGACGATATAATAAAAAACGGCTCGTTAATCACGTCGACGCGAAGATGATTCTCTTCCTCAAACAACGCCGCTAATTGACAGCGCAAAATGAATTAAGTCCGCTCTCTTCTGTAACGCTTCTGTTCTTTATATATTGACATTGTCAAGTAAACATGTTTTCTTCGTGTGCGAAGAAATTACGCCGAGATGTTTGTTTTGTGCATAAAGAACAATTTGTTATCGAGACATCGCGTTATTCCGCATTTATATCTTACGGCCTTTTACTACACTTTTTTTTTCTTCTTTTTTTTCGCATTAATTGCATCCGCTAGATGCGAGCGCAGGTCCCGTATGCAATTATTTTGCGTGTGCATGCCGCTTTATAGTCTCAGATATTTCCGTAATGGATTTATGATAGCTGCGTGACGCCTACGACTTCTATATGCATTTACGTATACACGCGATAGTGCAGCGATGCGATATATATAGAAGAGTCTAATGATTTTTCGATGCCGCCGCCGTCTAGCTACTTGTTCGAGCACGAAATTGATTTTTTCTTTCTTTCTTTATTATTATTTTTTTTTTTTTTTACAAGTCGAGGGAGAGTAAAACGCCCTGCGATTCGGAAGTAAATGACGATTCCTCGCGACGCTCTCTTTTTTCTTAACTACGCTTCCGTTTCATTTCATTCTCTATCATCTCATCTTTGAAAATTAATTTAAAATGCAAATTATTCCTCTCGATGGAATCCTCTTGAAGGAATTTAATTCCGATCGATTTTTTCTCGAAATTTCTGCAAGCGTCTCCTTATCGCGTACGTGACTGAAGAATTGTATTCTCATTTAAATTGGGCGCTAAAAAATTTAGCTTGAAAGAGAGATTCTTCGAATCGGATATTCCTAATTTCTAAAAATGTAGACGAAATGGGATTTATTTTTATATCAACAGAATTATTTTGCATCCCAAAACAAGACAAGTAAAAAAGACTTAATGAAAAGCATATAGTATAAATAGATTAAATGTATGAGACAAAGACCTGAACGATTAAATTAGGTCATGTTACATAATTAAATAACAAATACACGTGAATACTTCTTTTAAATAATCTAAATCTTTATTTTCTTAGCTACTTATTTCCTTCTTCTAATAAATTAAAAGAATTCATTGAGTGACATAAAATAAATAAATGACATAAACAAAATACAAATTTGAACATTTTCATAAAAAATATGCAATTGTTTTTTTATTAACAAAAATATCTTCTTTCAATTTTTTTAATGTATAGCGACAGCCTTTTACTTTAAATAAAGTATTGAAAGAAATTATTCAACTGTTCTATTCAGACAAAATTTATTCTTCAAGAATCTTGGAAAAATAAATCGCGAAGAGATAATATAGAGATAATATGGTCTTTTATGCGCGAAAAGGATCTTAAATCACGCTCTCAAATAAACCTAGTGCTTAATAAAAAAAAAAAGGAAAGATAACGCGTAAAGAGAAACCGCCAGAAGTAGTACATCGATCGATCGTAAATCATCAAAGAGTTGCTGGGTTCTGAAATTTATCGAGACTCCACCGCGTTTTTGAAGTGAGCACAGTGAAAATTTGCCGTTCCGCAAAAGTGTGTTCAATATGAATTAAAATGTACGACAGATGCCGGTCCCTATCGATTTAGGATTTCCCAGGAACGCGCAGTTTCGCAAAGTTAGAGTGCTCATGCTCTCTCTCTCTCTCTTTCTCTCTTGCCGAAGTAAGTAACCGAATTAAAACTTTCGTGAGGCACTATTCATTGTCGCGTGCCACCAAATATGCTTCTCCGGAACATTTACATTTGATGCAAATGGCTCTTCCCCAGGAAGGATCGACGGGGAATTCGAGCGTCTTAAGAATTTATATTAGTAATCCTATATAAAGTATATAGTTGCATTTTCTGCGTGTAAACAGGATTTCTTTTTTTATTAAAAACTAAAATTATTGTTCTCTTTTATATAAGAAAAAAGATTCGAGTCTTCGTGACAATTTAACTTTGAATCCTCTTGTGATTATATGACAGACAAGATTTAGAATGCTTTTCAGCAACAGAATACTTGCCAGGATAAGGAAGTCACTTTACATAGTTTCTTCAAAGTTTTGAATTTTTGAAGTCTTTTTTGAAATTTTTTAACTTTATCTTCTCTATTAGAATATCATCTCATAAAAAATCTAATTAGGCAATAAATAATATAATTATATATATGTATATATAATTATAAATTATATATACATTTATATATAAGATATATAATATATTATTATATATGCAATATATATTATAATATATATTATATATTATATTATATAATATATTATTATATATAATATATCAGAAGAAGATCACTAATATTGAGAGCTGATAAAAATATTTCTTTCTGATATATATATATATATATATATATATATATATATATATATATATATATGTATATTGTTATGTCCGTGTCCCGCCCGTTTGACGATACATCCCTGTATTATACGATCGTCAGGATTTTCTATTAGGATCTTCTATCAGGGTCTTCTATCAGGGTCTTCTATCAGGATCTTCTATCGTCGCTAAGAAGCTGTTTATGTCTATCGATGCGTTTTGTTCTGGTCTAGCTGTCGTGCGGTGAGGACGTATCCTCTGACAGCTGATCAGCGGATATATTTGCATTAAGATTAATGCACGTAATATTATATTGTATCGCTACGGTTTATTGGCTTCTAATATTAAAGTTTATTGCTTTACTACGCGAGTGTATTCATTTCCGGCATGTGAGAGTTTGAGTGCGCGCGACATTTCTTCGAGATAATCAGAAGGGTGGTCGCGGACGTAACAATATATATATATCAGAAAGAAATATTTTTATCAGCTCTCAATATTAGTGATCTTCTTCTAATATATTATATATATTATATATATATACACATATATAATATATATATAATATATCAGAAAAAGATCACTAATATATTATATATATATATATATATATATATTTATATTTTATATATATATATATATTTGTATATTTATATATATATATTTATATATATATATATATATTATTAATATTATATATATGTAAATAATTATAAAAAAGCAATTCTTTTAATAACGACAGGAAAATAAATTTAATTCGAGCACAAAATTCATTGGCGGTAATTACATAGTATTGCGGTGTTTACTCACGTTTTCGTGTATTTTCGTCTCGAACATCTCGAATCTCTCGTTGCTCTCGCTTAAGTATTGCGTTCCGTTTTGCCAAGTTACATTGGCGGCGGGTCGCGCAGCTTGTACCTTGCACTGCAATAAAATCTTCGTTCCCTGCACGACATGACCGACCACTCCCTCTAAGTCCATCTTCAGCGGGCGTACTGTAAAGATAATAGCGTGCTAAAATAGTAAGGCTGTTACTTGTTAATCGCGATGGCATTAAAGCAGCTAACGCCTCTATATCTCCGCAACACTAACTGTTCGACAAGGGATTATTGATGCAAAAGAGATTTGCCTTGGATTGGAGAAGAGAAGGTGAAAATATGACGTAAACTCTCAGTTACATATATATATAATCCCGTGCAATTTTATATTCGAGTAATAGACGCATTATTTTTGTGTATAAATTAGTATTTTATACTAAATTCTCTTCTATACTAAATTTTTTATTAAATTATTTTTAAATATTATTCTAAATTATTTTTATTTGTTTTTAATGTTATTCAATTTTTCGATTATTTGATATTTTTATTTTAGTGATAATATTAGTGTGTGTGAGAATGAAAATATGTTTTTACGCAGACCTGAATTTGAAGATTAATCAATTTTCACGCAAGATTATAAGACTTTAAGAGTTACTATAAGGACAATTTTTATTATAATAAAATAGAACAATCATTAATTGTTGTATTTGCATCTCTGAGGATGTGTTTCTGCGAAAAACAAGAATACTATTTAAATATAAACATAAAAAAATAATCAAGCAAAATATTCATTATTGTTTCACTACTTCAGATCCAGAAATGAGCACTTTTTATTTGAATAACAAATAAAAGATAATATTTGAAAATAAAATGTCATTCAAATACGTTTTTATTTGTTATTTGCAAATAATATTAAAAAATTAGTTGTTATAATGAGAATCAATCTAAATAATTTATTTGCAAATAATGTATTTTAAAATAAATAAAAAAAAATTATTTTAAAAATTAGTTAGATAAAAATCATTTTAAAAAGTTATTTGCAAAAGTTATTTGATTAAATTTTTATTTCAAAATGTATTTGAATATTATTTAAATAATTTTTCAATGAAATAGTGCCCATGTCTGTTTCAGATCTTTCATTTCGCCTAGCAACTGAAGAATTTTGTGCAAACAATTTTTTGTGGCTTAAACGCTTGTGGATTTTGACGGAAAGCCGTATCGCGGAACATTTGGCAATTGGCAGTCTTTTGTACTAGCTAAAATTTCGCTAGTTCGGGTTCGGTGATTTCCGTAGCTGTCTGTTCAATATTAAACGCACGTATCCCTATGTACCATATAGACTGACTACCGGATACATACAGGAATACAGCCGCTGGCAATCGGTCGTCATGTAATGATGATCGTGTGGTATCTGACCTCCGCGTCGTACTATAGCGACATTAGGACTGGTATGTGTAATCGGGAAGGTTGAGCGAGACATGATTGGACGTACGTGCGAAATGTCAACTTCGACAATTTCGAGTCGTCCCCGATGTCTTCCGATCAACGAAGTTATCTTTGTACCGTGTTGATTTAGAAGTACGAGGGAGAAGTACGTGAGATACGCACAGAGTGTTCGAGAAGTCACGAGACATCTCGAAATATCTCGAAAAATGTAAGTTTGGAAAAAAATAAAGGTTTATTTATTGCAGGGTTTAAAAAAACCTGGGGTTTTTTGAGGGGTTTATTGGATTTTTTGGATTTTATTAAGTTTTTAGGATTTTGTTGGGTTTTTTAATTTTTTGAATTTTATTTTTTATAATTCGCTAATGGTTAAAAAATTGACTATTTAATTGGCACAATTCCTTATTATAAATTAATTTTTATAAATAGGTTTTTAAATGGATTTTTTTAAGTGGGTTTAACCCAATAAAACCCGGTGGGTTAGAAGACCCACTTAGTCAAACCATGATTTATTGGCCTTATTAGTTTGACTTTGAATGGGGTTGCCAAGGTCAGGACAAAATTACTTTGAATTTTTTAAATGAAACTATACCTTCATTTTTTTAATAAAATGATCCTTTGCAATATTTGGCATGAAAAGTTATAAGGCCAAAAATGAAGAGTTTATGAGATATTTTATATTTTGGTTTGACATAATCTTATATAAACAATGAAATATCTTGCAAAATATTTATTTTTCAATTATTTTACCTGAATACTTTTAAGCACAAAATAATGAGAAAAATCAATTGGCATGTAAAAAGAAAAACAGTTCATTTTAAGTGGCTGTTAGTTACAAATTATTTACTTTTTCTTAAAATAGTTTAACCAAAGTGGGCAAACTGGAACACTATTTATAAATTACATTTAATTATATTTTTCGAAGTATTTGCTGTCTTGCAAATTTTTAAACAGGATGTATAAAAACTTTTCAAAAATTAAATTAAATTAAATTGGTACTTTTAAGTAGTGAAAAGAAAATGAATGGGTATAATAAACCGTGATTGAAACATTTCGGAATATATAATTTGTTGAAAGTCTTGGGATAAATATTGCGCGTTGTGACGCGAATCAAAATGATGTAGTACAAAATCGGACATTTACGAATTGTTTATCTAATCGAAATATCTATGCAGCAGCAGACACGTCGACGAGATGGATGACTTTCCGATGCTTATAGCGCGCATCGTCACACGTTTGCTCGGAAAATTCACGATTAATGGAATATTTGAAAATTGTCATTTCGGTATCATTAAATCGATCCGGAAGTTCTTACGGGGATATACGCGATCCGTGATAAAAATGGGTTTGTAGAAGCGTTAATCGGTTGACGGTTTGTCGTCAAACCGTAGTTGCATATGTATAGATATACATCCATTAGCGCCGATGGATTTCCTAACGGACCGTCATATGTGCATTATATGTACTCTGTATCACGAGATTCACGCTGAAATTTCCCTCAGGCTATTGCATGTACACGCGTAACATCTGTATTTTTATATAGGCGTCATTATAGATTTATCTGAACTTAGGTACAAAACACCTTGCACCGATCTAAAATTAATTTATTATAAAATTATTCATGCATATCTAAATTGACGCACGTATTATCAAATATCGTTGTTTCTTAATAAGTAATTATTTTATGAATATTTATAAATTAATTATGCTTAGGAAATTTTGATAAAATTTTTATCGAAAAACTTGAATATTTTAAAATAATATTTTTGAAGTTTATATAGAAAATTTCCGTGGAAAAAGGAATTTTTCGAAATGATTATTATATGTACATTAGAGGCATCGGTACGTGAGTTGTCGATGCTTCTTGTAAAATCATGCAGAAAATATTGACCGATAATTCAGCGGCAAAATTCGGTGAGCGGTATTCAATACAAGAAAAGAACACGAAAAGAAAAGGGGCAAGAACCGAACGAGAAGCGAATGGCGAGAATCTAATATCGGGAATTGCATTTGACTTCAATTGCACTCCCTCTACCTGATAGCAGGCTGGATGCTGAAGGAACGGACTGAGAACCGAAGATGGCAGACGGCGACAGAGACGAGGGAAAAAAAAAGGGTAAAAGTCACCTCTTCTTTGCGCAAATAGATTTTTTCTTCGTTGTGAGTCACGCTTTTGATCCTGGGACAAATCTGCCTGCCGACATTTATTTTTAATCCATACTGGATTCGTATTATCGAATATATTATATTTTTATCGCATCTATAAAGAATAAGATGATGCGAATACATTATTTCTGCAAAAATATATAATAAAATATATAATTTGACATATATAAGAGAGAATCGCGTTTGATCATTTTATCATTTCATAGGTTTTTTAAAATAAAATTATCTTTGATTAAAGAGAAAAATAGTTATAAAAATATTTTATTTAATATTTTATGTAGGGTAATATAAATATTTTTTGTAAATTATTAATTTTCTTAGAATTTTTATAATTTAAATACCAATTTTTAATAAACATTCTATACATATAATATTTAATCTAGTGCAACAAATTTGTTATAATTAATTTTTTTATATTTTATAATTTTTATAATTTGCATATAAATTTTTGAATAAAAAGATAATAGAAATAAATGCATTATCGCGCTGATAATTTTTTTATACGGAACACCGAGTGTTCTTTGGTATAAGATAGAGAGTTGAAAAGTTCTAAGATGTTCCTTAATTGTGCCGTTTTAAAGATACCGCGAGGGCAGATTCTCTTGAAGTCTCTTGATTTTCGTGAAAACTCGCCATTAAACTAATTTCTCTCTTTGCGCCTGAAAATTTCGAAGAGTTCGCAATCCCGATAAGCCGACCGCGAGACTTTTTAAGTCTGTTGTCGATGCCAATGGGATTTCCCCGGTTTTGTTTTCCTGTAAGAAGCGCACCAAACTTGCCTGAACGCTCCGCCAGATGGCCAGATTCGCTTCGCGAATTTTCTCGTCGCTCCCGGAAGCTCATCGCTTCCGCGACTTTCAACGAAGCAGCTGCGGAGCCGTAAGATTTTCGCAGATATCCCGCGGGTATTCGTGACATTTCCGCTTTAAATTCACCGCAGGTTGTTAAGAACGGCTCTCTCGGCGGGAGTTTATATTTATATTTATATTTTATATATATATATATATATCTATATACATATATATTTCTGGACCACACGTTTAGAAAAATTTCAAATTGCGCCCCGAGTTTCGACGATATTGCTGTTATCCCTTTTCTCTTTCTTAGTATTTTTCGACGTTGTTCTATTACCTGTCTAGGTTCTTATCGTGCTGGCAGGCAATTTTTCACGATACGAGATCGAAGTGAACCGTGTCGACGTTGGTAGCAAAAGCGTTGAAACTGTTTCATCATGTGCTCTATGATCCTGTATATTACATCCTTATAGTATAAAAATATATCACTGATGAGATGAGAATTTCAGGAAAAAGGATCACACATTTTACGAGTTAATACGAAAATTAGAAATATTTTAGATATATTAGATATCAGGAATATATTGAAAAAAATATCTGTCTTCTAAAACTTTTTCAAAATCAATAGAATAAAGAAATTAATAGAAAAAAAGTTAGTCATTAGATATTGCATACGATTATAGTTGATTCACAATTTTTTAATCTTAATATAATGCATTTCTATATGTATAAATAATATTTATAAATATTATAATAATTTTAACATTTTTATCTCACATTAATTATATTTTTATAGAAGAGAAAATCATTGTGTTTGTTGTTTATTTTATGTGATAATTTTCTATAATATCTCTAGACTATTTTGACAATATTTATTATTGCAAATTAAAATTGTCATTGGAACTTATTAACCGTAATACAGTTTAATTTTCAAAATTAATTTGTCTTTATATTATAATAATTACATGATGACAAATCTAATCATAGACTCTTTGACATATTAATCAAAAGATAATTATTATTGCTTTATGTTGTATAGTATATGCTGATAGTCAAAACACGTGCAATATGCAATTATTCAACTTTGATAAGATATTAATCTTTTTTTCTGACAATATCTCACAATGTCATATCAATTAAACATAATAACTGCCCTAGTTGCAATAAATACGATGTGATTTCATAATGAGAGAGATTAATGCGATAATTTAGCAAATTTATTAACCAACGCGTTTCCACACGGTAGCAAGAAAATTAATCCCGACTTCAAAGTTAATAACGCAATTTATCGATACGACGAGATTTATGTGGAGAATTATGCGGATTCGCGTATTTATATATTTTAATATTACGATATTATGCGATAATATTACGCATAATAAAGTTCAACCGTCATTAATAAATTTTTAATTTGCGACAGAAATTTTTATACAAAAATATAAAGTATTAATTAATTTAATAAAATCTTGCGCAAAAAGACGTAAAACTCTTTTTTCGCGTGAGCATATATTATAATAAATATTTAATTATGATATGCAAAATTTGTACGCGTGTGAAAGGATCCGAATTAATATAAACTCTCATAAAAAATGAGAAAAAATTTCATTATTTATTACTTCATGTTTTTTCATTGTTAAAATTATAGAGTATATTCCGCTATATTCGTATATATTAATCGATAAGAAACACATCGTTTAGTTGATCTTGAGTAATTTATGGTATGCTATAATTTTTTAAATCCAATGGACTATTAATAAAATGCTCGAAATTTATGCGAGAATATAGTTTATCTCGGTATACAAAGAAATAAAATACACTTTTCTACTTAGATTATCGACGCGGAAATACACAGTTAATAAGAGGATTCTATTAAGGTCGTAATTGTGATTTCGATCTAGATCTTGAAATATGATATTGCGCTATAATTTATGTGCAATTAATTAGATGCATTTTCCTCTTGAGTATAATAAAGAATGCACGCAATGCATATATTTTAGCTGGTTTATAAATATTAGTTAATTTGTTGCATCACAATAAAAAGTAGTTCAATACGAAACTTTAACTATAAAGTTACCTAAATCACGTGTAAAAAATAATATGCAAATTTTTTTCTACACATTTTTGTATACTTTGATGTATTTTTTTCTTTTCTTAGTAAAAATTTGAACAATCGTGTATTGATAATAATCGATTCTTCCTCATTTTTACACGATTTTAACTCTGATTAACCACATATAAAAAATATCTTAAAACGAATAAAACTCTCTCATCGTGATAGTAAACATGAAGCGAAATTACATGACCTGTATCACGTGAAATTAACTTTTTATCTGATGTGTAAAAGATACACCACGAAATATATAATTTTGTAGTTAAATTAAAAAAAAGCATATTACACTATATCAGTAAAAATTTTATTTTTGACTGATAGTACAAATATTTTTGATATCGAATTCTTGCACATATTTCATTTTTTCGAAATTTTGAAGAAGATTGAATCTCTCTATGCAATATATGACTATTGAATATATAAGATTTAAAGAATTGAATTCGTAAATCTATGTAAATAGACAATGATTTAACGTTATAAATTCTTCTCTTTACATGCATTATTATGCTTCTTAATTTATACACAAACGTGAAAAAATCTTTTTCTCTTTATTTTTAAATAATATAAAACTATAAAGTCACCAGATAATAAATTAAAAAATGGTAATAATTCAATCGATCAACTCTGGCAAATAAGTAATTTTATTGAATTTTCATAACGCTTCGGCCGTGGTTTTCGGCCCTTATTTAAAGTAGATTTAAAAAAAAATTTTTCATGTACGGATTTAAATTGTTTATTGCTGCCGTGTTTTGAATTGTTCAAATTATAAATAAATTATAAAATTAAATGTTACAAAAATTATACAATTAAAAATTAAAAGTTAGACATATTTCAATATCCGCGGCTAGACATTTATTTATAAAATTTAACACAATTTCTCGAGAATTAAAATATCATGTCAAATGTCATTTAAAACACCCGTTTATAAGCGCGATTATTAATTTTCTTGATTGTTTAGATTATTACTCTGATTAAAATACAGAATGCAATTAAATATCGCGAAATAGAATTTCGTTCTCCATTAACGACATTGAAAAGCAGGAGAAGATTCTCTTTGACATTACATCGTCCGAACTTGCTCGAGACTTCATTAGAAAATGCTAATTGACTTCGGGACTCTTAAGCTAGTTTATATTCAGCGGCGAGCATACACTTGATGTAAAAATTTCATCCCTTCTTCTTCCTTCAGCCCCTCGTTCGGGCACATTGATACAGTGCTCTTTGGTCCTAGAACCCACCATTCATATTCATACCTCGCACGAGCGCGAGTTTACCGATGTACCTATGTTTTGATTTAATGAATAAACGATATCTCACCCTCCGGCGGAATTGTTGTTGCAAATTTGGGTCGAAATATCTATCCACGTTTGTTCTCCATTCTATCACTATGCTCTCTATTGAGCTTGAAATCGATACTTATCGGATTGTATACTATATACTGCGTGCAAATTATGTCGCGGAATCAAAATTGTGTACATAGATGATTCTGTGATCTGTTCCCTCCTTTTTTCCTCTTTCTGTCAATGACATATGTGATCGAATGTAAAGCCGATATTTTGAACGAAGGTAATAATTAAAGATCGTTTTTCGATTGATTATATATTGAGAGGTTTCAGCGATAATCTGTTTAAAGCTCTATTTTTACGGAATAAAATATATTAAATCAGTATTTGAGAAATAAATTAAAGGAAATTGAAATCAAATTAATTAATTAATTAAATAATATTCCCTGAAATAAAATATTTAGTTGAAAGTAAAGCATACAGGTCTATCGCGTTTGTGCACTAGTTGGTAAAAATAATAAATATACCTATATATATTTTTGCTATTTAAAACACTGGGAAAAAATTCTTTCACACTTGTGTATGTACAATGTACTAAATATAACACATAACTACTATATATATATATATATATATATATATGTATATACAGGATAGATGATTTTTTTCCTCAGTGAAAATGTCGAAGCACCAATAATTTTTAAGATATCACTAATTGAAAAAGCAGAGCTTCTCACAAACTAAACTTTGTAGAATTAAAATATTAACAAAACTACATTTTTCAGTTAATTTCAGATAGAGTTCATTTCAATAGAATTTTAATTTAAAACTTACAAGGTTTAAGTGTTTCCAAATTGGTCGCAGAATCTGACAATGTGCTTCATATATGTTTTTCGAGTTACACTCTGTATATTTATTTATTTAATAAATTGTTTTAATTAATTAATTTACGTATATGATAAATAAATAAATACACACAGACAGGAAATAATTTTTCAATCGTGTTGCACAGTTCATAGAGGCATTCTTCATTTTGCGAGCAGCAATATTCTGTGACGCTATTTTTGTGAGTATAGGGTATGTGTACTTACCATGTACATCTGGTTTAATATCAACGGTGAGTGGCTCCACGAGGGCAATACTGTTGACTTTACACGTGAATGTTGCGCCTAACTCTTCCCGTGTAATTTGCATCTCCAGCAAACTACTTCCAGTGCCTAACCCGGTATCAGTAATGGTCGACGAGCTCGTCGCTGAAATGGAACAGTTTATATTTCTTGACAAGCACGTCTCGAGAGAAAAAGAGAGGAGCGATATCAGATATACATATATTTTTAAAAAGGTCGGGCTTTAGAATGAAGCATATTTTTCGAGATATGCATGGCGAAAAATATTGTGATAAAAACACCGAACATTTATTTATATGTGAAGAAGCATATAAAGTTTATAATTAAATAAAAAAAAGAAAAGATGAATCTATTTTAATATTATCGATAATTGATCGTTAATAAAGAATCAATGTCTTCTAATATTCGCGTTTGAATAATGGTTTAATGGTAATGGTACATATTTTAGTTCATATAAAATTTCATTAGAAATAAAATTATACATTTTAACATTTCATATATTTATCTTCAACTAGAATATTATATGTTAGATAAAATTGTGCTCCAGGATATACTTGTCATATCTCGCATAACTGAAAATATTAAGATGTTGAGTGTCAAATTTATAAATATATGAATGCGCGTGTGTGTCTATGCGTGAATTTCTTATAATTAATTTCAGATATAAGCAGAATTAAAAAATTACAAAACATATGACTAATTATATATTTTATAATTTTTCAATCTCACTCAAATTAATTGAAAAATATTATTAAATAAAAAACCGTTTTGCTCATTTAAATAGAATTATTAACTTTTAATTGTTTAATTTATAAAAAAAAGATTAAATTAAAAACAATGAAGATAGAACTTTTTTTTTGACAATTCTGTTAATTGAATTAATTTTCAATTATGGCACAAAAGGGATATATTATTATATGAAAAAATATAAAATGAAGAAATTATGTATTAGGTATGTTAAATTATGTTTTTTCTAGTCTTTTAGAAATATGCACGAACTATATAAATAGATTTATCCGCTCTAGGGTAAAGATACATTGTAAACATTTTACCTTCAAGTGGCTGGTCATCTTTAAACCACTCGATTGTAGGTACAGGTTTGCCATTTCCGCTCTCGCAATATAGAGCTATTGTTGAACCCTCATTTATGGGTCCTAAAGTGGCACCGGTGCTCAAAGTATTCTTCGAACTTTCGTCGATGACACGTATAAACTGCGGTTGCACTGGAACACACATAAACGCATTTATATAGAAAATTGTTTCACTCTATGAATTGTCACCGCTCTTTTTTTTGGCCACTTGAGTGCCGTGTAAATTTAAGAATTTTTTCTTGTAACAATTCTTTCTCTTTATATATATAAGCGTCAAAGCGTTCATAGTTACGACACTTTTCCTTCCTTGACAATGAAAATGTGTCTAAATGATGAAAAATAGAGTGCACGTTTTTACTTTTTTTTTTTACTTCTCGTCTAAATAAATGCATTCTTTAGCCCTTTGAAATAACATTTATTTCGCAAATTTCTCGACAACAAGAGAATGTATACTGTATATATTCACTATTATGTTTAAAGATAACTGCTCCGCGGGAAATTATTTCCATTTCTCTTTGATGTCGAGGAAAATACAAGAACGCTCCATAAAAAGATATATATACATCTTATTGTTAGTATAAATGAAATATTTATGAATATCAGACTTATATACTCTTTCTCTCTTACATTTCTCTTTTGCCTAAGTTTTTATGAGAATTAATCGTTTAAAAAACCATCAACGTCAACGCAATAATTTCATCTGTTTTTTTTGCGCTTGTACCCTATAAATAACAATATTCCGAGTGCAGTGTAGAATTAAATAAATGTGCATTGTATCGACATTTTCGAACGTGTCGTCTCGTGCGTGTAAATCGATACGATTTATATATATATTTGCTTCATATATATATCTATATATATTTTTTTCAGTTTAGAAAATTGATATAAATTCCATCATATCTTACACCTGTCACGCAAATGTCATTTTCTTTGATGTTATTGGATCCGATAATTTCCAGATAATTCTGTTCTTTATTATAAAATACCAATTAATATTTATGCAACAAGTTACAATTCATTTATGTCAGTTTTATGTACACCAATTTTTCTCTATTGAGGTAAAATACATTTTTCAATGATTTTACCTCAATACTTTTATACAGAATGATGAGAGAAATCAATTGGTGTAAAGAGAAAACCAATTGATTCGTTTTATTATTAATTTCAATCATTAGTCATTATTAATCATAGTTGATTAAAAAAATGTAACTGCTAAGTTACAAATCACATACTTTATAAAAAGAACTATATTTTTTATACTGATTGATTCCGTTTATTATTTCGTGCATAAAATATTGAAGTGATGTCATTTTACGAGATATTTTATAATTTATGTAAAATTATGTCAAATTAAAAAATACCATTATAGCTTTTTATGCTGAATATTGCGAGAAATTAATTTGTGTAAAAAAATTGGTATCATTAAAAAAAACTAGATTGATCTTCAAATGACTTTGAAAAATGACTTAAAATTCAAGATTGTAAAATTAGACTTTTACTTTAAAAAAAATTACATTTAAGTTGAATTTTTGTGGATACATTTATTTCGATATTCTAATAAAGTTCTGAAAAGTACCCTTAATTTCAGCCAGAGCTTTTTTATGGGGAGTAAAAGGGGATAAGTTTTAGTTTTTTTCGTACAACTTTACATATTTTAGTTGTATAAAAAAAAGTATAATAATCTTTTTTGTAGAGAATTATATGAGCTACAATTCTGATAATAACTATTTTTCTCGAAAAATAGGTAGTTTTCGAGATAATGGCAAAAAATTAAAATTTACTCTCTTTTATTCTTCCATAAAAAACGCTCTGGCTAAAATTAAGGCTAAATACTTTTCAGGATTTCATTAAAACATCGAAATGAAGATCTCCACAAAAATTCAGCTTGATTATAATTTTCTTTGAAGTTTTGCCCTTTTCAAGTCTAATTTTACTGGACTACTTCCTCGAACTCTTTGATTTTTGTGATGAAATATTTTTTTATTACCTTGGAATACTTTCTTACGTCAAACGATTCTATTTTTTACTGTTATTATATTTTATTTATATTATTTGGAAAAGCATTTGTCGCGATTCAATTCACCGCCGTCCAATTCGGCACGTCCGATCTGATAAAGTCTTGTCTTCTCGCGAAAGACAGAAAAGTAAAGTACGAGTATTGCATGTGCGGTGAAATTTTAAACCACCGCTATATCGATTTTCTGCGGCGTGCGAAGAGTGCCCTAACTTTCTACAATTCCTACGGGAATAAAGTGACTGCCACTTATCGAACAGGTGCCATGTTCTTAGGACATTATAAATCAGATCCCAGGTAACACGCCGACTGAAAATGCACTCAGACCACAGTGTTTTAGGTGCTCCGGCTGTCGATGTTACATTTACGAATGTCGTACACACATACACATAATATATACACACACATACAGACATGCGACGCGCATTTGCATGCTGCGTACAAATGCATCCGGCGTAGCACCACGAGTGCTTATACGCGCAAATACTATTTTTAAGGATAACCGTACGGCAAAAGTGAATTACAGAGTCGCTTAATTATGGAAAGTACATATACTACGCATCCATAAATATAATACCACTCATTTCCGTAGAAAGTAGTTCACCGTATGCAGGGTGTTTCAGGAGGAAAGGTACATATTTTACCCAGTGAGAAATGATGGTCAAATCGATGTCGATTTGTTGTCGAATCGATGTCAAATTCGTCGAATCGATATCGAATCAACGATGACGATTCGACCAATCATTTCTCACTGGGTAGGAGGTTATAGTATGAACCATTTTGAATAAAAATAGTATATTGTGTATCAAGTGCGGAAAGTTAACAATTGGTCACGAGTGCGGGGGATAGACGCACGAGCCGAAGGCGAGTGCGACCACCCCACACGAGTGAACAATTGTCAATCCGCACGTGATACACATACTATTTTGTATTACAAGTGCAGGCAAAGTGGCTTTGTGCGCGTTTTCTGTGCGCGAGGTGGCCGATCGCACGCCGCCATTTTGCGGCGGCACGGTGCGGGAATAGCCGTGTTCAATACATTGCCTACGGCTTCAGCCGTGGATGGCGGCTTATTCACTCACCGCGGCGCCGCTAGATGGCAACGTGGGAAATCGGCCGCTTTCCGCACAAAAAACACGCACACAAAGTGCCACTTTGCCTGCACGTGTAATACAAAGTTCATATTAACATGTGTCCAATTTTCAATAGGTGTGAAGTTACAGCCATTTGAATGTTAAGGGGATCCTAAACGTTCTTGAGAAGTCTATTGTTTTTCCCTGTTTTATTGACAAAATGTGAGGTTAGATAAACTATAAATAGATTATTTTTTTTATTGGCAGTTTGTACATATAAAATAAGACCAGATCAGATTTGGCATTGGATAAAGGGATATAAGTGAATGTTTAGATATCAATTTGGAAGCCTAGTAAACGGAAATAACTCATCTTACATTTTCGTGCATATGTGTGCACACGAAAATGAGTTATTTTTGTTTACTAGGCTTCCAAATTGATATCTAAACATTCATTTATATTCCTTTATCCAATGCCAAATTCGGCCTGATTTTTTTTGTATGTACAAACTGTCAATAAAAAGAATAATCTATTTATATTTAATCTAACCTTACATTTTGTCGATAAAACAGGAAAAAAACAAAAGACTTCTCAAGGACGTTTAGGATTTCCTTAAGTATCAACGAAATCTGCTAAAAATGAATAAGAGTATAAAAATGACTTCTTTCTGCAGAAAACTTATTAGTGCTTTTTTATTGATGCAAAAGCTCTACAAACATAAATTAAGAGCACAAGAAGATGCACTGATAAAATTCTTGATTTACAATCAGTTTTTTGTATTTTCATCAATAAGTTCTTCATGTGGGCTTCATTAATTATTGTAAGTTTTTTGCAGAAATAAGTCATTTTTATATTCTTGTTTATTTGTGTCAGATTTTGTTGATGTTTAACATTCAAACGGCTGTAACTCCACACCTGTTGAAAATTGAACACATGTTAATATAAACTTTTTTACTCAAAATGGTCAACCTCATAAAATATGTACTTTCCCTCCTGGAACACCCTGTATATAGTTTTGCGAAACAAGCTTTTGTTACACATTTGGCAGCATGTAAATGCGAATGAAATTATTCCTCTGTTAAAAATGTAGAAAAAAAATGTCGGAAAATTTATATAGACACAACATAAAATGCCCCATGTAATGTATTTTTGCTGCTTGAATTTTTTAATTCTCGAACAAAGGTTATATTATCGTTATATGGCACGTGTGTACGTTTTATAAGAAAAACTACAATTTATTTTGGTGCGACTCTGTTTTCTATTGACTTAATCTCCGTCTGCGTCCACTTTTTGCGTGCAATCGATCGGCTTGTGTCATTGACAAATGATAGAAAATGGGAATTTGATGTGGAAGTGAAACTCTTGACTTTCTCTTTGAAGGGTCAATAAGCTACAAGAAAATGCTCACATTTCGTGTTCAAGAAACTTACACTTTAAGTATAAAAAAATATATTTTTTGATATATATTTTTAGTATAAAATAAATATATATTTTTTCATTTTTAATATAATAAAATATATATTAGAAAAAAATATATGTGCATATAAAAAAATATTGCATATATAAGTATATGTAAGAAAAAATATTGTATATGTATTATTAAGGGATAAATATAATAGAGAACTCTATAATTATTGAAAATAATGCAATATTTTTTATTTCTATTTAAACTTTAAATTTATTGATTGGAAATAATATTTTCTTTGTCCGAGCGGGATATGTCGTTTTTAAACTGAATGGTGCTTTTTTTTACATTTTGCTCACCGAGAAATGTCGAAGACAATTGTATTGTTCGCTAAATTTTCTCACCTTCCATCTTGTATCGTTCTTTCAACCACTTTCAAGATTTCATCTACAGCTTACTTTAGTTCTAAATTGAAATCTTTATAACGTAACGATCTAGAAAGAAGATTTTCTCGAGTATTTCTTTCTCATTGTGTATTTCTATACTCCATACTTTTGGATTTTACTCGTAAATCTAGTTATTGTATTAGCTGTAATAATTTTATATTTGTATGCCACTTCGCAGGCAGAAAAGCAGAAAT